TAAATAAAGAGTTTGATAATTTTGGTGGGGGGGGGGGACCACACTCTTTTTTTTTTTTACATTTACATTTTTTACATTTTAGACAGTGATGCCTTGAGATTTTGCATACTTTTAAAAGTTGCCATGGCTGAAAAAGGTTGAGGTACACTGATTTAGAGCACCCTGAGCACTAGATTCGATAATAGACATGGCATGCAGGCACATGGATGTGCTTTCTGTTCACTGCTAGTGCTGAATTAAGAATTTATTTTGACACCATGATCCCTAAGCCTGACGTTGATAATTCGGTTCCCTCCAATTTCCTTCCTATTTCTTTATTAACATTAAAAACCTCACTAAAATACTTTGACTAAACCAAGGATAGGGAACTTAATACATAAGGATCAACTGGGCTTCATGCCCATGAGACAAGCCAGTGATAATATCCTCAAAATCGTTCTGCTTTTTGAGGCAACCAAGAAGCGTTAGATACCTTTAATGCTACTGTCCCTGGACATTAGTGAAGCATTCAACTCCCTTTCCTGGCCCTACTTTTTCTGCATCCTGGAATGCTGTGAATTCAAGTTGAAATTGCGGACGTGAGTTTCCCCTCTTTATAGGAACATGTCAAGGATGCCCCCTATCCCCACTTCTCTTTGCCCTGGCCATTGAGCCACTGGCTCATCTTATTAGAACTTTGCCAACATATCTTGGGCTTGCATAATGCCGACCATCACTATCTATTAAGTATGTTTGCTGATGATGTTTTACTTACTGTTACTAATTCCCTTATTTCCCTACCTAATTTGCAGAACCCTTTGTCCAAACTTGGGGATCTATCTGGCCTAACAGTTAATCCCTCAAAATCGAAAGCACTCCACATTTCCCTTCCCTTCCCTCTCCTCCATACCTTTAAACAATTCTTCAGCTACCACCGGGAACCCGTTAATTTCAACTATTTATGGATTTATCTTGCTGATGCTTATTCCACTATTTTTGAAGCTTTCCCCCTCTTTGTCGTAAACTCCAAAATCTTCAGGCTTGGTCAACAAATCCAATCTCTTGGTTGGGACAAATTGCTGCGGCTAAAATACCTACCTAAATTGCTTTATCTCTTTCGTGCCCTCCCAGTCCATGTTCCTCCCCAGAGACAGGTCTTGTGCTACATTTGAAAGGGTTGAAAACCACGAACCTTTAAATTGGTCATGTTCCAGCCCGAATCAGAATCTACAGGTGGATTGGGGGTACCTTATTTTTATTAAATATTACCCAGCTGCCCAACTGGCCCAAGTTACAAAGCTTCATGGGAAATCCCTTTGTGGCTGGCCCTAGAAGCGGTAGATTGCGACCCTCTCCACAGCCATAATCTTTTGTGGCATTATTTTAAAGATAGGCGCTTCCCTTCCAACCCTGTCACTAACCATTCACTTCAGCTCTGGGATAGGTTTAAATATTCTGGGGGGGGGGGGCTCCCCATCTCCTTCTCTCTTTTATCCGTAACCTGTCATTTCCTCCGGGTATGGACTCACTACAGGCATTTCACTGGTAGACCAGGGTCGAATAATCACTAATTCTATAAACTTATCTCCCAATCCGAGAATGAAATAGTTTGTCTCATTTCGTTTGACCAATAGTCTACTAGCTCCTGAATTGTTTACAGTGGGTCCTGGTAAATAAGAAGCTAGCTGCTAAATTGTGGGACAGAATGTTCAGGTTCCGCATGGTCTGGAAACCGTGCGTCTCTGACTTTTTACCTTCTGACTTTGATCAGATTTGAGAGAATTATTGGAAATCTAACCCCTTCGTCCACCTTTTGATATTGTAAATCCCCTTGGCCACTCCATTCTTATTCCATTCCTCTCTCCCCCCTTTTCTTCTCTGTGCCTCATTCCCCTATCTTTTAATGTTCCTAATGTTCCTATATATGTTAACTTACTTTTGTTCAATGGTCCCCCGTTTATAATTTGATAGTTGTAATTTTCCTGATTTTACATCGGGGTTGGTCATTATTATCTTACATTTCCTATGCTGATACAACATTTTGTTTACTGCACTTTGTAATGTTTTACACATTTTGTCTGTTGTTATATTTATCTTATATTTACCAATAAAAATTATTGAATTTTTAAAAAAAATTATATTTTAGGTTTACTTTAAAGAAGAACTCCAGGCAAAACTTTTATTAACCCTTGTAGTGGGGTTAACTGCTCGTTTTGGTCTAGAAGGAAAAATAACAAAGTTATACTCACCCGGTCTTCCAAGTCGGCAAGCTGTGACAGTGCTCCCTTTGGGCTGTCTCCTATGCTCCAGCGATGGTAAGTCCCTCTGTGTCCTCACGCCCTATACTTTGTATAGAATGTGATGAATCATGGACCTTAGATCGCTGCAGTGGAGGAGGAGAGAGGCTCCAGGGACCAGTCTAAGAGCAAGTCGGCTCCGAAGATCAAGCGAGTATAACTTATTTTTTTCCTCCCTAAAACAAAACAAGTAGTTAACACTTACAGTGTTGGGGTAACCCCACTGCAAAGGTTAAAAAAAAGGTTGCCAGAAGTTCTGCTTTCAGTAAATATGCTATAATCTTTAAGCCCTTGTCCTTTTTTGTAATAGTAAGCTATCGATTCTTACCCTTTAACACATTTTTCTTCTTTCCCACAAACACTCCTATCTTTGCTTTTTCAGACTATAAACTTAGTGATCGTCATGGGCTGCTTTTTAAATTTTTGGAATGAGCTCATGCATAGCCACAATAGGTAACCACCTTGTTCTAAATAAAGCAGTGCATGTCCCTGAGAAGAAACTTGGAAACAAATTTGGCCAGTGGTGGGGCCAGCATTCATGAACACTATCTGTCAGGAATGCAACTCCAAAGGTGTCTCTCTAGTGGCACCCATGCAAGATCGTCTTATGTGCCACCCTCTCCCAATGGGTAGGTCATAATTGTAGCTTTGACAGTTGCATATTTTTGTTACTGATGAAAGATGGGAGAGGTAATTATGCAGTACAGAAAGTTCCGGCACACTTCAAGTATAGATATGTTCAGCTCGAGAAGTCGCGTTCCAATTCTTCAAGCTGCATCCATATGTGGCAATTATTCTTAACTTGTGGCACATGTACCTGCAAATATACAGGTTCAAAACACACTACTGCTAGTTAAATACTATCTAATACCAATTCTAAAAAAACAAATTGGATTATTGCAAAGGGAATTGTTTAGAAAGAAGAAGATATCTTTAGAGGCTTACAATTTAAAAATATGTATCCATCTTGTTAACAGAGATTTACAGAACATAACGGAAATGTCTTTCCCTGTGTAGGTGCTGCTGTGGCCGGCTTATAAAAGAACACAGTTTCTATAGGAGCAGTGGTGGTGTAAACCTTTCCGGGGACGTGCCAAACACAGAGGTTTGGACTGTGGAAAATCACACAGTGAAAAGTTCTACAGATGCTTATGGAACCATTGACTTTCAAGGAGGATCACAGACCTGGAAAGCCAAGGTAAATGTTCATATATCTTATGGTGCTGTCTCCTGCATACAGTCTACACTCTGCCGTGATAGAAAAATCTAAGCCAATGGGAGCCATTCACCTTTCATTGCTTTGACTACATAATTCTAAACATGGTCGCTGTATTGTGGTGCATTTCTGCTACCTGCAACACCTTATCTAGTGATTTACTATCTGTGCTACTCTCTTCATAATTTTCTTCTGGCATATTAAAGTGGAAGTAAAGGGAAAGAAATAAAAATAAAAGCCACTGGAGCTGTGAGCCATAATGTGCTAGTATGCACATTATGGCAGACTTACCTGCCAAAGTGATCAAGTCCAGGACTGCACTTCATACAGCATTCTGACCATGGTTGGGAGCTTGTAGTAAGAACCACGGATGGCACCATGCGTATATAAAGTCACAAGGAAGAAAGGCCACCAGCACTCCATAAAGATTTTAAAGAATCAAATTGTTTTTATGTCACAAAGGTTGTATAGCCAATGTTTCAGCACAAAGTGGGGTCCTTTCCTCAGAGAAACACAGTGGCTTGTTGCGCTAATATTACAACATTAGTTTACCACAAGTATTCCATAGCATGTTAATTAACAGATAGTAAACATACAAATTTAATTTAAAGTGATATATTTATTAATAAAATGTATATTGTTTTTATTTCTTTTAGTATGTCAGATTATCAAATGACAGTAAGGTTGAAGATATACTCCATCTTATGGTTAAGGAGTGGAGGATGCAGCTACCAAAACTGGTTATCTCTGTACATGGTGGGAAACAAAAATTTGACCTCCATCCTCGTATTACAGAGGCCCTAGCTAGAGGATTAGTGAAAGCTGCCACAACCACAGGATCTTGGATCTTTACAGGAGGAGTGAATAATGGTAAATAAAAAATACTCATGTTACAGTCCATACAAGATAAAAGATCTGCTAATCAGAATTCTAATGATTTCATACTTGCTTCATATAGTGCTTTTTACATGATGTAAGTGCTTTACTCAATGGGTTATCTAACTGTGAGTTACTGTACTTTGCACATCTTTATTGAACTTTGCAATTTCTTCCTCACTAAGCCCCTACATGACCCTTAGAACTGAACTTCAGGCTGCAAGACTCTAAACTGCCAGCAGAGTAAATACCTGAATTTCCCTTGATATTAGCGTTATATAATCCAATGTACAGCAGAGCACAGGGAGAGGCAGAAGCAGCACAAGGAGTAAATAATTGTACTTCAGGGCTTATGTGCTAACAAGAAGAATTCTACATCAGTCTGCTGCTTCTCCTCTCAATGTCCAGTCACAACTAGGAGAATGACAAGACCCATAAGTGTCTCTCAACCACAGCAGAGAAAAACATGGTCTCCTGCTCTGCAGATGGAGCTTTGCTGTGTTTCAGAAAAGTTTAAATACCTGGACTGGATGGGTAGAAATGCAAATCTTTTGGCAGGTAAAACAGATTCCTTTTATCTGTGTATTTAGCTTTTTACCTGGAGTTCAGCTTTGGTTAGGGTTATATTCATTTCTCTGGGTACTCTGTTGCTAAACTCAAACTTTACATAGTTTTGGATAACACGCTGCCTATGCGCATGAACAGTTCTCCAATTAAATGAAATTGTCCTCTGAAGTCAGAAACTAAGACTTTCAGGGGTGTCAATCACCTATTCCTGCTCAGTGCTCACTGGTGTTTGCCACCAATCCCTAAGGCTGGGTTCACACCTAGGCGTATCGAATATGCGCGTTTGTCGCGCTTTTCGTGCCACGCGTTTTTAACCGTGATTTGCGGTAAAAAACGTGCGACAAACGCGTGTTTCCTAGGGCTATCCTGTACTTCTTTGGGCGTAGGGCGTTTTGCAGTGCGTTCCTACGCGCTGCAAAACGCCCAGGTGGGAACCATGCCCATAGGCAATCATTGTTTTTCACATGTTGAGCGTTTTACATAGCGTAGGAACGCACTCTAAAACGCCCAGGTGTGAACCAGGCCTAAGGCCTTAGGCCCAAAGTGTGTTTAAAATTTCTAAGGGTGTGTCAATTAGAAACCAGTTGCAGTTTATTTATGAAATAGTGTCTAGTTACCGCACAATACACTAATTATTGAAGTTATATTAAAGTCAAAAAAGTTTTTAAGCTATTTCAAATTCTGTTTAAATCACTTACAATGGATGCTGCTACTTGATGTTTAAAAGTTTCAGCTTTTTTTAAAAGAAATACTTTACTGGGCAATGTATATTTGTTTGCTCTGGATTCATTATTAATAAAAGCGTGAGAGTTTAATACTACTTTAACAAGAACAAATGATACATTTTAAGTTCATTAGTTTGAGTTTTCTTTATGACTGTAGGTGTGGCTGAACACATTGGAGATGCCCTAAAGGAGAATTCCTCACGCCTAAATCAGAAGGTCTGCACTGTTGGAATAGCCCCATGGGGTGTAGTTGATTGCAGACAGGATCTTGTTGGAAGAAATGTAAGTCCGTTTGGTCCATCCACTATTTACATTATCTGCTCTCCTCCTTGGAGTGACAGTTTTCATTGTCTTTGTTTTCTTTAAGATTGTAGCACCATATCAAGCTCTGCTGAACCCACTCAGCAAACTCCATGTCCTGAATAGCCTCCATTCTCATTTCATCCTTGTGGACGATGGCATAGTTGGACGTCACGGAGCAGAAATTCTTATACGGAAAGAGTTAGAGAGTAGAATCCGTCTACAGCAAATTCATGCAAGTAAGTTTCACCAATATAAAATTGTGGCTTAGTGTTTAGCACTCCTGCTTTGCAGCATTGGGGTCCCGCAATTTGAATCACAAACAGCACACTACCTGAATGGAGTTTGCATGTTCTCCCTGTGTCTTCGTAAGTTTACTCCGGTTTCCTCCCACACTTCAAAGACATGCTGGTAGGTTAATTGGCACCTGTATAAACTGGCTCTAGTATGTGTATGTATGTGAGATACAGACCTTAGATTTTGAGCTCCTTGAGGGCAAGATCTGATGTGAATGTGCATGTAAAGTTCGGCATATATTGTCAGCACTATATAAATACCTGTAATAAATAAATATACCAATTTTATTCGAAATAAGCGCCAGACGGATATAAACACACCATTTAATGCAGTTATGTATTCATTACAAACATTAAATATATTTTAATTACAGCTTGCATAAGTACTTTAGTTTGATGTTATATTAGCTTACTTTAAAAAGTTCACATGTATGTTTTTCATCTGTATAAATTAGGGATGTCCCGATACTGATAATAGTATCGGTATCAGGGCCGATACAGGGCATTTTCGCGAGTACTTGAAAATGCCCTGATTCTTCAGGCTGATACCAGTCACTTCAGGCAGCCTGCTGGGGACCTGGCAGTAGCTGTCCTTGGCAGTGCCTGTCTGGTTCTATATCTCCTCCTCCTACTTCCCAGAGCAGGCACAGCCATGGACAGCCCCACACTGCACAGTTTAGCCCCGGAGCCGGCACCTGCCCGTTAAACTCTCGACCCACCATTTCAGGCCGGTGTTCTATCACTTTTCCCACCAGCACCTGCCCAATCAGCATAGCTACTGCCTGCAGAGCCCTGTAGAGATGCACATGCCACCTGGGTGAGATTGCAGCATGATGAGATCTGTATTTAGCTCTGTTGACATGTTGTGTATTCAGCTTTGGTGACATGTTGTGTATTCAACTCAGGTGACATGTTGTGTATTCAGTAGGGTTGCACAGATACCAAGTACAGTACTCGGTACAAGTACGAGTACACGTACCGATACTTTTGAGCTACAAGACTAGACTAGAGAAAAATTCAAAAATTAGGAGGCAGCTGTCATTTGTAAGGAGCACATGGGATTAGTACATCTCTGTTTTAATGTACGATTTTGTTTTTATAAATATAAATAAAGGGATGCACAGATACCAGTTTTGCGAGTACGAGTACTGATACTTGCCGAGTACATTTTTGTTTATTTTTTTTTTCTAAAACAATACAGACTAATGATTTCAGGACAGTGGTGGAGCGCCAGAGCCCGGTCCCAGCTGCAACCCTGGTAGTTCTCTTGAAAATGCCAAGTATCTGCACTGGTACTCAAAAAGTATCTGTGCATCCCTAGTATTCAGCTTTGTTGACATGTTGTGTATTCAGCTCTGGTGACATGTTGGGTACTCAGCTCTGGTGAGATCTGTATTTAGCCCTGGTGAGATCTGTACACAGTCCTGGTGAGAAACTGCCCTAAAATCATTAGTCTGTATTGTTTTAGAAAAAAATGTCACATGTCTCTTAAAGAAAAAGTATTGAATTGATATCGGCAAGTACCTGAGGGAAAATACTTGGTCTTGAAAAAAATTTTATCGGGACATCCCTAGTATAAATAGCTACTTGGCCAGTGTTCAGGTTTAATGAATTCATTTAAATAATGTAAATACATAAACACATTGAAATTAAATAATATAAATACATGAATAAAGTACAACGATCAATACAGGAATGTCACTAAACATACATTTTACCCAAAGGTGGTTTTAGCTGCATTTTAGCTGTAAACATGATTTAAACGCACTGTTAACAGCTGAGTTTATAAAACTGGTATTTTATTAAACTGGCATTATAATTATTGCAACTTCCTTTCTTAAAGAATACTCTCAACAGTACTCATCTTTACTAGTAGTTTATTTTCTTGTTTATGCATCTTTCCTTTTTTTTTGTTAGGAACTGGCAAGCGAATACCTATTGTGGCTCTAATACTAGAAGGTGGACCCAATACTATCCTTACAGTACTCGAGTATCTTCAGCAAAGTCCTCCAGTACCAGTGGTGGTGTGTGAAGGAAGTGGCAGAGCTGCAGATCTCTTGGCACATGTGTATAAACAGACAGAGAGCCAGGGGTAAGATGGTTATATGTGTTCTAATTACCACTGGAAACCAACTCGATTTGTCATTTAATAACGCCTTATCTTTTATTCTTGTTCATAGAAATCTCCTGGAAGGCTCCGAGTCTGATGTCATTGCCACCATAAAGAAAACCTTCACCCTCAGTCACTCTGAAACCGTGCACATGTTCCAGACAATAATGGCTTGTATGAAAACCAAACACTTAGTGAGTTTGGTGAATTTCCTTCTAATGATTTGTCCAATGGCAATTGCTGCTTCACCATTGTAAATTTCATATCAATGGCTAAAGGATATGACTACCTTTTGGAGCATGTTTCAAGTTACACCGTATTTAGGGTGTAACATGAAACATATAACATGGTCACATTGCAACCCATTGCTTATCTGAATTCCAGGGTGCTTTTCCTCGCAGACTGCTTCTCTTTTTTGGAAATAGTAAGGCTGAGCATGACTCTGACTGCACAGCCTCATCATCCATTTACAGATCCTTTGAAAGGATCTGTGAATGGAGAAACTACAAGTCCCATAAGAGAAAATGTCAGAAGGACTTGCAGTTCTCAATGGAATACAAGTGTTGTGATGGGTCAAATCCATGATCCATGAAAAAAGATCCTAAGCGTGAATGTGGTTTACGTTTGGGAAGCTCCATTCATTCCAATATCAAACGTTAAAATCAAACAGAATTTAGGTCGACATTCGTCGGTTGTCTGCTGGCATTATCGGGTCATAAAGATCTTTCGTACGAATGTGCGTTTGGAAATCTACTAGTGTATGGCTAGCTTAAGTGATAAGACTATCTTCTGGAAAATCTCACAAGTTTGGCTGTCTAGAGTCTTACATGAGTTGGTTTGGCTGGTATTAATGAAGGGTAAATCATATGATTATTAACTTTTTCTCACTGATTTTCAATATTATATAAATATATCCTTGAGTTGCAAACAATCTACCATGTTTAATGTGCCAGGCTTGTACAGTATGTTTATTAACTTGCTTATATTTTCTCGCACAAGACATTGGTTGACATTGTTGTTTTGCTACACCTGAAATGAATGGGTATCTATGGCGAAAAACTAAAATTGAATCTGTATTTCTATATTGAATTTTGATCAGTTCCATCCCCTTCCTAATAAACATATCCATCTAGATGTTTGTAAAGTGATGGGCAGACAGAAGTCAGCACTCCCTACATAAAAGGATTTTTTCAAGTAAGCTTTGATTGCTTTCTCAAAAACAACTCAATGCTATTACTATTCCTATTACAATGCTGCTACAGTACATGCTGGGACATTGCAACTCCTTTAAATTAGGTGACAGGCAGAGGTTATTGCTTAGCCATATTTTCAAAAAATCAGATGATTACTTTTGTTTTCCAGATAACTGTATACAATGCTGGGCCTGAAGAACCACAGGATATTGATGTTGCAATCCTAACATCTCTGTTAAAAAGTCAGTATATGTTCAGTTTTACATTCTTGATTGAAGTCCGATTCAAGTTTTTCTGCCGGCAAGGTTAAACTAATATTACAGGAGAACATTGCTGAGAGAAATACAGGGATTGCCACTGCTTATCTTTAAAAAAAATCTATGTTTTGTTTGAAATTCTTCCTGAAAAATAGCAGGGAACTTCCTTCTATGTGAGGGGACCCTAACCCTATGCTTACAGACTTATATCTGCAGTGTGAAATCTAAGGCACTGCTGCCTCTGACTGCTAGGGGTGGATTTTTCTTAGCTTAGTGAATGTGGTAAAAGTTCACTTTGCAAAGAATAGTCATTAACTTGCAAGAAAAAAAACCCAACAAAACAACAGTATTTTTACTGCACATTATCAGAGCTTCATCTCATTCACTAAGCTAAAGGAAAATGCACTTGCAAAGTGATTAGCCTATTTGCCCTCAATAAATCAACCACCTACAGTAGTCTCAGGAGATCTAGTGATGTATCTACTGTTCTCCTTGATGGAGGCTCTGCCATGAGGAAGTAAAAGCCCTGCCCTCTACCAAGATGGCCACGTCTGCACAGAGGCATAATTCAGAACAAGGTATGGTAAGTTAGTGATGGGGAAAAGACCAGCTGCAATACTGGTGACTAGTTCTTTGCCCCCTGTCTGTCTTTTATGAGCACAGCTTCTACAGTTCAGTTCCTCTTTAAGACAGAAATCCTAATATGAATACTTTTTCCAGGTTAGTGCAATGGCAGCCACGTGGTTTTTGTAGAATGGGAAGGTCAGTGTCCAAGCAGAGCCACGTTTTGTTCACGTAAACATATCTGCCATTGGAGGAAGTATGAAACATTTGTTAGTACAGAAGTATATGGCATCTATAGTATAAGTCTTATTCTCAAACAATGAGTACACCTGAATTATTTTTACAACTTGTGATGTTGGGGAGCTCACAGAGCACTCACACGGCGTTTTTCCATGAATGAAAAGTCTTTATTGGTATTTCAACAGCGGATACTCAAGGAAGCTCAACATACAATAGCTTGTCGTCAGCAGAATATATATAATGGCTCACCAATCACCGAGTTGTTCCTTACACTCACGGTGTCCCAGTCTTTTAATAGTTTCTCTTGCATCACTGCTGCTCCGGCCTCAATCTTCAGGGCCACTGTCTGGTTCCCCCAGACAACCTCAATCACGTGCCAATCCTCACCATAGACTTCACAAACCTGCAGCACCCTGCAGAACTGGCCTCCACACTGACTCCTGGGTAGAGTTCTCCTGTCACCCAGGTGGGGCCCTGAACACATCCCATCACACTCTTCATATGGGATGTCCCAGATGCACAATTAGGTGCTGGTTACTACCAAAGCATGGACCCAGGAATGGAGATTTCCTCCCACCCAGAGCTCTAAGAAATCTCCTGGCTCCAGGATCCCAACTGTGATCCAGAAAACCCGTAAAGGACTGAAAAGGCAATTCTTTCCACCCTGGGTGACTTTGAGGCCACCCAACACTGTGGTATTGTCACGCAATGCCACAAACTATATTACAAAATGTGATTGTCTTGAGTGTTAACACACCATAATCTAATTTGGTGGTTTATAAAAGAATGTTGATACATCATTTTTTGGTTTATTTTATAGGCACAAATATGTCTCCTTATGATCAGCTTGTTCTGGCCTTGGCTTGGGACAGAGTAGATATTGCCAAGAATTATATTTTTGTACATGGACAGCAGTGGTTGGTATGTGAACAAGTCTTACTTATTTCATATTATAGTAAACAAATCTCTACTAATTTATAAGGTGTTTAGGTAACAGAAAGCAAATCCATGTAAATAATATTTGTATTTATTTCATAGACAAAACCTTTGGAACAAATAATGGTGGATGCCCTTGTAATGGACAGGGTTGCATTTGTCAAACTTCTCATAGAGAACGGTGTCAGTATGCACAGATTCCTGACCATACCCAGGCTGGAGGAATTGTACAATGCAGTAAGTAATCATTTCACTATGCTGCTAGAAAACACTTCTCCTTTCAGAATAATACTTGTCAGGCTTTGTATAGAAAACCACGCACATCCCTCTATCAAACATGTCTTATGCAGCTCTGCTTACAATAGCATGTAAGTAAGTGTATACAGTCTATACAAGATCAGTATACAATTATCCGGAATAACATATGGAAATTATATGAACTATTGTACTGTGCTCTAATTTAATGACTTCTAAACTGGGCATTTCCATTCTTACACCTGATGGCTACAGCAGAAGAGTCAGAAACTAATAGGATGCAATGTATAACAGTAAACCTGTCTTGAGAGGCTTTGGTTGCTGACCTTCATATGTAAATGCTGGTTGTTTGGTTGTTATGCTGAGAAAAGTAAGAAATCCTTAACTTCAGACCCCATTCACTCTGAGCACACAAAATCCGCTGAAAAATAGGTTTTCGAGCGACAAGCTTAAGCTAAAGGCGACATTGAGCTGTGAGATGTGAACAGCTCCATTGAAATGACTTGTTCGAGCTACATTGAGCGATTTTTGAGTGGAAATCGCGTGAATGGGGTCTTATACTTGTTCCAGGTCTGTGAACAATCGTGTGTCCCCCATCCTCACCCCCCACCGTGGTTTTCAGGATACCCTGCTCCTCTGGGGAGCCCAGGACCACGGCAAATTATGTCAGGATGGAGAGCAGGAGCAGACCAAGGAACATCCATTCCCTGGTCTGCTCTGTGATGAATGAAGCAGGAAGCGCTGTGCTCTCAGCGCTTCCAGCTTCAGAGCTGTCGCAAACCCGACTGAAGTGCTTGATTGCCTGTATTGGAAGGGCAGGTGAGACATCAGGGGTCTAATAGACTGCTAATGTCACCATAACGAGAACCTGTCTCCCCCACATGATATCTCATAGAGGCTTGTTAGCCCTTTTGTGATAGCAATAAAGTGAAACAAAACAACCCTGCTGCCCCCACCATCAGAATGACCACACGCCCGTGGGGCTTGCATGTGTAATTGCACCACTCATGTTGGGTATCGGTGAGAACATCAAAGTGAGGGCCATAATTCTGGGGTCATTATTCACTATGAATTCTAAACTGATGAGCAGTAAAGGCTTTTAAAGCACCGCATATGGTCAATTTTGAGTATTATAGTTTTTTCACCATAGCATGGGAGCATACAATTTTACGACTTGATGTGTTTGGTATTTATTTACTCTTCATGATAGCGTATTATATTTTGTTTGTGTGCGCTAAAATTAATTTTAGTGTATTTTTTTCCTAAAAATATCGATTTGATAAACATTTGTCCAAATATTGTGCAACATAAAAAATGCAGCCGTAATTTTTTTGGAAGGGGCCTCTGCTTTCAAAAATATATAATTGTGTGGGGGTTTAAAGTAATTTTCTATCCAAAAATTAATATTTTAGCATGTGTCCACAAAAATTAGAAAATTGCTCCAGTACTAAGGTAGTTAATGACTTAATGGTTCTGTGTCTCTTCCCACCTCCTCCGTGTACGAAGCGGGCATTCTGTCCTGTGTCTCCTCCCCTCCTTCCTCCTTTGTGTACAGAGCAGGCATTCTGTCCTGTGTCTCCTCCCCTCCTTCCTCCTTCATGTACGGTGCAGGCATTCTGTCCTGTGTCTCCTCGACTCCTTCCTCCTTCATGTACAGTGCAGGCATTCTGTCCTGTGTCTCCTCCCCTCCTTCATGTACGGTGCAGGCATTCTGTCCTGTGTCTCCTCCCCTCCATGTACGGTGTGGGCATTCTGTCCAGTGTCTCCTCCCCTCCTTCCTCCTTCATGTACAGTGCAGGCATTCTGTCCTGTGTCTCCTCCCCTCCTTCATGTAGGGTGCAGGCATTCTGTCCTGTGTCTCCTCCCCTCCATGTACGGTGTGGGCATTCTGTCCACAGGCATTCTGTCCTGTGTCTCCTCCCCTCCATGTACGGTGCGGGCATTCTGTCCAGTGCCTCCTCCCCTCCTTCCTCCTCTGTGTACTGCTGTGTGATCTCCTTGACGTCTGCCTGATAGTTCTGGCTCTAATGTTAGAGCCTGCAGGCATCGAGGAGGAGAGGACTTCACACACACACTGAGGTACCAAAGCTACTAGTATGCTGGGGGACAGTGTGGACTGTGAGCAGTACAGAAACTGAGCCATCGTTGGGGTTTGAATCTTTACAATGAAGCTGTGGAGAGGGGCGTTATTTTACACTGTGTAATTATTCCCCCCTTTTCCCCAGCTTTATTGGTGGAAGTGTTAATGCAAAGTGTTAGTCCCGTTAACACATGAATGTGAACGTGCATTACCTTCTTCGCATTCTGCAGTGTTTGCTGCGCGTCTGCCCATTCATTTCAATGTGCTGCCTTACGTGCAACAAACAGCAAAGAAGCTCATTCAGTAGTTTGAACTTCGAGCGTTATGCTTTGTAGTGTGTCAATGTGTGGCCACAGATGCATGTTTTGACTGCCGTGTTTGGGGTGAAATTAACATGTAATGGCATTGCAAGCATGTCACACATTTTTCCTGCATTGTGTCAGTGTATGGCAATGCGCATGTGTGTAAACTTGGCCCTAAAGTCGCAACAGTTGTGTTGGGGCTGCACCATTTTCAGGCCTACTCCAATGCATAGACACGGCACTTAGCCTCGTTTTAAATGAACTGCTCTGTGGTGGTGTACTGCATGCTGTACTTTTTTTCAGTGCAAAACGGTACAATCACATAGCTCCACACTGTGCTGATAGAACTTAATAAAATGGCAGTTGTGAAATTTCAATAAAGTTCTAACAAAACAAAAAGCTAAGTGTGATATGTCAGGATTAGCACATCAGCACTTTTAGCTGTCCAGTGCGGCTTGCTGGTGTGAACGGACCCTTAAACGTTGCTTCCCCATTGACACTGCAACAATGTCGACCCATTTGTAGCATACAGTTTATAATACATCTCAAGGGAAATTCATTTTTTAAATGTTTTTGCAAGCAGTCACATGACCACAAAGCTATGGCGGGTGTGTCCGCGGGGCTGGTAGGTAGTAACTTTTACAGGGCTAACAACACCTTAGAGCTATACTGTAGATGTTGGTGCAGTGACATTACTGCTCTAAGAATTTAGCTGTGTTGTGGGCCATCCATAGACAGACACATTTGCTGGAGCTTTGTAGTCACATGACTGCTTGGAACAAGATGTAAAAAAGTAATTTCAATTAGATTTATTAGCAACTGTATAGAGAAAATACAAGCAGTAGGAAAAAATGTTATTGGGTGTTTTTCAATTGTGTAGCCGTTCATATCAGTGACTGCTGCTCTATCCTGTGGGTACTTTAACCCTGACTACTCTGTCCCATATCGGGGTCATTTAAGGGAAGCTATGTGGTTTTAAAAGTTTTAAATGTAACGAGGTGATTTATCTCTATGTTTTGCAATGTTTAAATAAATATGGTTGTATGCACTTTATATTACACTTGAATATCTGTTCATTGGAGGTCTCCTATTATGGGATTTCTATGTCAGGGGGTTTGCGCTGTTTGAATACGTTTTTCAATTGTGCTTTGTTTTTTCCGTTTGTTCGGGGAGGGAATTTGCTATGGGGTCCTGTGATTTCTAGGTACGCTCCTGCCTAGGAGCGTAGGGATGTTGTAAGACATTTGTACTCAGCCATCCAGGTGCATTCGCCCATTGTGGTGCTATTAATTTTGAATGGCTTCCCAACAAACTCAGGCAGTGCAGCTCCAACATACATGCCTTGCAGTGCACCACAACAAACATTAATGAACTACCATGCGTTGCAGTGTGCTGTAAAAAAATGCATGTCTTTTTTTTGTCTGTTATTATAATATTATTATTCAGGAATTATATAGCACCAATAGTTTGCACAGTGCTTTACAAATTGCGGACACAGTACAGTTAAAATACAATTTACAATACAATACAATTTCAGTACAATAGGGTTAAGAGGGCCCAGCTCATGAGAGCTTACAATCTAGACCATTCTGATGCATTGGCAGCCCATTAATTTGCGTTGACTGCCTTAACAAAAGGCAAGTTAACATACTGTACGTTAAGGCAACATACCAGAATGGCAAAGTATAATTAAATGATGAAATGCCTTAATACACATATAGATAGGCTGATTTCTGCACGTGACACAGAAAAGGTAGATGGTGAGCTTGTAAGAGAAAATACGTAGCAGTTATATGTTTGCTGAGTTTAGAAGAAGATGTAGAAGTTTTGTGCATCACTCTGACAAAGATCTTCCTGGCCAGCTTTACATGGCACACTGCAGGATTCCATTTATTTTTCTATTTACTGGCTTTACAATATTTTATAGGAAGACAAATGAATAAGTATTCCCCTTTGCTGCTTCCTAGGCTCAGTACACAAGTAAAGACACCCTTCTGCAGCTAATCCAAGATGTCAAGAAGGTAAAAATCCAAATTTTCTTATATACGAATTATGTTTTACATGTACAGTATACTCTTGAATATATTTTATATTGGCAAGTTTATGTTTTTTGTGAAGAACTTTCTGTTGTATATGATTATCCCCTTGGAGAACAGATTATAATAGGAAGGGATGAGTACACAGATCTAGAGCATGATGGGTCAAGCAGGCTCTAATATCTCTTACAGCTTTGTTGGCTAGTAGTTACTGTCTAATCGCTGTTACATAGTTACTCAGCCTGAAAACAAGACATATAACCATCAAGTTCAACCAAACACAAAACCAACACCTTGCACCCTCAGAACTCAAGACAAGACATATAGCCATCAAGTTCAAACACAAAATCAACACTTTGCACCCTCAGAGCTAAAGACGAGATATAGCCATCAAGTTCAAACACATAACCAACATATTGCACCCTAAGAACTCAAGACAAGAGATAAAGCCATCAAGTTCAACCAAACACAATACCAACACCTTGCCCCCTCAGATCTCAAGACAAGACATATAGCCATCAAGTTCAACCAAACACAAAACCAACACCTTGCACCACCAGAACTCAAGACATATCGCCATCAAGTTCAACCAAACACAATACCAACACCTTGCACCCTCAGAGCTAAAAACAAGACATATAGCCTTCAAATTCAAACACAAAACCAACACTTTGCATCCTCAGAGCTAAAGACAAAAGATATAGCCATCAAGTTAAAACACAAAACCAACATATTGCACCGTCAGAACTAAAGACGAGAGATAAAGCATCAAGTTCAACCAAACACAAAACCAACACCTTCATGTTGAAGGCTTCCCCACATTTTTACAGCTCTTACAATAAAAAACCTGTTATGTATACAGAGTTTAAACCTTTTTTTTCCTCCAGCCACAAGGAGTACCTTCATGTCTTTTTGAAGTGACCTAAAAGCGTATTTTAACCAATTATGTAATGTATTGTAGTATACCAGTCCTTACATGTGGTGGCTGCATTAGTTTTCTTTCTCAAGCTTTTTTCAATTTATTTTCACCTTGTATTCCTGTCCATACCACATGTCATGTCCCTGGGTGGTTATGTTCACTCCTCCACTGCATCTATGGCAGGAGCCATGATTGCCACCCATGCCTGTGTTTGTTTCTGTCCATTGTATGGGCGATGGGGAGATTAGCAGTTTACAGAAGGAGGATAAGATTGTTTTTGGTTCCAATTCCACTGACGAGAAGTGACAAGGACACTGCATTTCTGGCAAGATCAGCAGATATATTCCCCCCTTCCACTATGTTTATTGTGACTGGAGAAATCGAGCATATTTTTCTGAACCTGAACTGAACCATCAAAAAGTGGTAGGTGTATGGCCAGCTTTACTTTTACTGTACTCCTCTGCAAAATAGATATAAGTTAAATCAGTTGGCACTTGTGTGTTACTTCTGAAACTTGTATTGATTCAATGTATTGATTCATTGATTCAAATCAACCTTGTTTATGATTCTAATACCAGAGCACATATAATTGAATTAGGATTTTAAAGTGATGGGTACATTAAATGTATTGGTTCTTATCCACTTTATGGTGATTTGATTATCAAATTCTCTGACCTGCTATCATGATGTGATCACCTTTATGTATAAAATGTAGCTGGCCACATGCCACTCATTAACTATGCAGAACATATCAAGAACTACTGTAAGTTTAATTTAAATATCTTTGGTCACTGCTTGGGTTAAGCTTGATTATTTCAAATGTATTTCATTTTCACTTTTATAGACTCAGTGGACTTTATGATAGTATTATACTTCTATTATTTCTTTTATAAATATTTGAATTATTTAACTACTGATTTACCTAGTTGATTTAACAAAAGACTGAATAGTAACAGATAAATGCAAACAATTGACAATTAAATATATAGTTCCATGTTTAATGATATGCTATTATGCTATCACAAGAAGTAGAAACTCCCGGTGTGTTTTATTTAATACATGTTTTACCATATTTTAATATTATTGTGCAATGCTGAATATGTCTATTTTTTATTACTATTAAATATTCTTACATAGTTACATAGTTAGTCAGGTTGAACAAAAGACACAAGTCCATTGAGTTAAACCTATATGATATGAAAAAAAAGAAGAAAAGGCAAAACAGAACATAGCCTTTTCTGGGCATAGCGCCCACAATTACCCACTGTTGATCTAGAGAAAGGCAGAAAACCCCCTATAAAACATGGTTCAATTTGCTCACACAAGGGAAAAAAATTCCTTCCTGATCCCATAGGCAATTGGATATTCCCTGGATCAACAATCTCTATAGGTTTTTCTCCATTTTAAGCCTTGAAGGAGAATTATGGGGAGAGTAAAATACACTCATCCCCATAATTAGAGCTGATGTGTGACACTAAAGTTGTCACACATCGGCTGTATTGATCGAGAACTGATCGATCACATACCACTGATCGCTCAGTTCCCAATCTCCCTGCAGTAAGTGGTGACTGCCAGTCACTCCTCCCCGCAGGGACTCCCCCCTCCTCTCTCTGATCCTCCAGTGCTGACTGGATGGACTGACAGGGAGGGGGCGGGCCCAGCTGGTTCTGCCTCTAGGGAGGCAGAGCCAGTTGTTAATTAGATAGTTGGGTGGATCCCGACAATATTGTTTCTTTTTTAAAAACAAAAACCTTTTCCTCAGTTATTTATCACAATGCTAATGATTATTCCACAATTTTAGGTAGAACATACAGCACATGTGAACTGTTCCATTCTGTAGAACAAACTTTTGATTTAGATTTAGAAGGATGTCTCCTGCTATCTGTGAGCTTGTCTGAAAATAATGATTATGGTGGAAAGTATAGCAGTAGTATATTTATTATGTGTACTTGGCTTCATACCTGGAGTTCTGCATTGCCATAACATAGTTTTACTTTAATAATCACTGGATTTTTTTTAAGGGGAACCTCCCAGCAGAATACAAGATCTCCCTCCTGGATGTTGGACTTGTTATAGAATATCTTATGGGTGGAACATACAGGTGCAGCTACACAAAGAGACACTTCAGAACAATGTACAAACAACTCAGTCAGGTATTTATTGTGCTCTTGTGAGCTCTATTTTGAAGGTAACAAATCTGCCCTAAAAGCTCTGATATGGATTGAGTTGAATTACTGCTCTTTCCATGATGTAATGATAGTATTCAATGTGTGAATTCCTTTTTATGTCACATGAGTTTTTATATTTTTGTCACATTTACACTAGGCAAAGCTCTCCAACAGTAATGACACTGCCTGGGTTTGGTATAAACTACAACATTGCCTTAACAGTTACAATAATGATTTTATAAAAAGATGTAAAGCATGGGTATAAATTGCTCTAAGCCCCACACACTCCCAAATTGTTAATTTGTTCCAAAACCAAAAATGAGGGTTGGTGATGTTACCAACTATAGACCAGGGATCGGCTAGAGATTGTCTATAGACAATATGGTTGGGTGTGTGGATGACAAGATAGGCTGAATAAAATTACAATTTAGGTGTATGCATGGAAAATATATCATTTGAGGCTAACATTTTAGTAATTAATGATTATTAACTAAAAGAACAGTGTGATGTTAAAATATACTACTACTGTGAATTATAGATTTACTCAGTTCCATGAAAAGATCTCAATTTCAGTTGAAATTATTTTTATTGCCTTCATTGTAGAAGGTATTTTTTGTCAGTACTTTACAGCTGAATGTTGATTATTCTTCTTTAATACTTTCCATGGCTGAAGAATTGTGTGTATGTGCGCAAGCTAATTTTCTGTTTGTAACTGTGTAAAAATAATTACATATTTGTGTAATTTGGTTATGTATTTTTCAGTGTCGGTTATATGGTTTATTTGGTGGCAATCCTTTTTCATTTTAAAAATATTTTATTGAGTCTTCAAGGTAGAAATACAAACAGTATTATGCGTTTGTATAGTCAGGACATGTGAATGTTCAAACAGATAACATATAATAAAATCATTTATAGTATCTTATGTTGTTTGCAAACTAATGGATCAGAACTATAGGCAAGAGAACAACAGGTTAGGTGGCCTATGAGAAGAGGTGGGGCCATTAGGCTGAGTTTATTTTCATCCTTTTAAAGTAGAACCCTGAAGGAGCTACTAAAGGTAATTTTGGGTCCTCCTACCTGTTTTGCAGTTACTGGCCCTTTTCCTCAGCTCCAGCAACACAGACACTTCTGAAATGGAACAGGCTTGAGTCGTAGGGTCTTTTCAGTATTTATTGCTCAGTAATAAACTTAGGAGAGAGGGTTAGGGTTGCAGGATACCCAAAGAACAAAAATGGAGGACAGTGTCTTCAATAGTAGCAATAGCAACAGGTCCTATGAGAGAAACCAAAAATCGTTTCTTGCAGGAGCAGCCAGGAAAAGTCTATGACTGATAGAGCAGTCACGGGACTTGTAGTGCAAACACTGGCTCCTTCTCTTCTGTATAGTACCTGAGTAAAGGGCAAATAATCTCTCTCACAGGGTCCAGATGGCAGCTCTCACCAGCTCCTCTGTGACATTCTTTAGTAAGCAGAAGATCCTTCCTCCAGCCCAGCTTCCTTCAGGTTTCTTTTCAGTAACATCTCAGGCCTCTGATCCCCCAGAACCTGCCACATGTTGAGGCCTAGGCTAGACATCTAGCAAACACACCGGCCTCCTCCCAGGGAGAGGCCTCAGGGGAGAGGAAGAACACCTCACATGGTATGCCTAGAATATTTAGGCCCTCTCCCAGCATGCACCACTGGCCATGAACCTCCTAGTGATTGGCTAGGGAGACATAGCTATTCATCACACAATATTATTGGTTGCTCTGCTCTGTGACAAGGTTACACCCAGCGGCAGGCAGGTGCAAACAATAACCAAGTGCATAGGAGAAACCAAATGAGCACAGACTATTAAATCAGACAGCAACTAAATTTAAATAAACACTCATGTTTATGACAGGGTGGCTACACCCAGATTAGTGTGCTGTGGGAGAGGTGTATCCAGAGGACACAAATTAGTCTATCGATCTGACAGTATACCACTAGCAGTACTGGTTCATAGGTTTGTGTCCCTTAGGTGTGGATCTGGAGGAAAGAAGAGTAAGCAAAAAGTAAGAAATTAAGATTTCTCTAGCAGAACCTTTTCATGATAATCTGTCATACAAGGAGGCTGGGCTCTCAGAAGGAAGCATGGGATAAGAATATTGAATCCAAGGATTCTAAATATTAAGAAATGTGTCATCCACCTCTGAGTATACTGGTTAGATTTTCGATTATGAGAAAAGAGTCTATCCTTTGTTTCACTTCTGAAAGCCAAGTTAATTGAATCTTCTATGCTCAAACCATTGTTTGTTTGGCAGTTAGTGAAATGTATATAGATAGTTTGTAATGAAATGCAGGAGTGCCAGCCATGGATCTTTCAGGATTTGGATGGTGAGCAAATGTCAGACAGGTCCACCAGATTTGTATGGCATCTCTAACTTTGTCACATCCTCTGAAACATTTATTTAATTTGGCCAGATAATGTGCAAGTCTGGATTCAGGCAGATTTAAGGGTTATTATGTTACTAGTGCCAGTGGAAATTGCAGATCTTTGTTTCATAGTGATAAGATACACTGAACGATCTGTAGCTATATAAAGAAGTCGGTGCTGGGTGCTTGAAATGTCTCTTTAACAACAAACCATTTGTAAATGGAGTGTCTATCTTGAAAGGAATAAACATGTGTATGGCTGTGGAGTTGCCTACCAATTGAATATCTGGGGGATTCCAGTCTAAGGGAGTATAATGGATTGCCCAATAAAGGATGTCGAGGTAGATGTACGAGACTAGCTTGCATTAATGGTAAATATTCTTTTTCCTTTTAGGGCACAGGCCAGTCAGATCAAGGCAGCTGTTCAAAAAATGACAACTCTCTGGACAGGCTAGAAAGGAAAGAAGAAACAAGACACAATCACTTCCGTCAGACTGCCAAACCGTACAAGCCTAAGGTATCATGCTTAATGAAACTGGACAACCCAAGCAAGAATATGAAGATATGTTTAATAATAATGAATAATTATCCTCTTTCGTTATTGGCAGAATAAATCAAGTGAAAAAGACAATTCCCAAAAATCTGGCAGAGTTCAGCATGAGGATACCAGTGTTAAACCTTTTCACTATCCATATAATGAACTCCTTGTTTGGGCAGTGTTGATGAAGAGACAAAAGATGGCACTCTTCCTCTGGCAGCATGGAGAAGAATCCATGGCTAAGGCACTGGTTGCCAGGTGTCTGTTCCGAGCAATGGCAAGGGAAGCTAGGAAATGGGACATCATTGATGATACACCAGATAAGCTCAAAGCATATTCCAAGTAAATGGATTTATTTTTATTTTCTGAATTGGATATTGGCATTTATTTTATTAGCTATTAAGTGAAATAGAATAAAAGCTGCCTGGACACTAACAATTCGGTTACAGGATCCAGGAGCTTCTTTGGGGCGTATTTGCCACGCGTATCCATTGGGATACAGCCAGATAGCCCTCGGAAACGCGAGCTAGTCGCTCGTTTTTTACGCGGTAGAAACGCACGGCAAACGTGCATATTCCGTATGCCCAGGTGTGAACCCAGCCTTAAGAAAAGAGATAAATAACAACAAAAAGGGAATACAAATGAAGTTACTTTGCCCAAGGCCTGGGTTTATGGGTTCCAGCAGAGTCCGGTCAATGAAGCATAAAATGGATCTGAAATTGGCTCTCTAGAAGCAAGTCTCTGGGCAGATGTTCTTTCTTGATGGTAAAGCAGAGCTCCGGCTGCCTTGTGCAGCAGCTTTTTGTGGGCCTTCTAGTGGGCATCATTGAGGCAGCCCCCACCCAAACAGAAAGGCCCAGGGGTGTAAGACAGGAGGGCTAAAATGCTTTGATATTTTACCAGGACCTTTCATAATTTCAGTTTCCTTAAAGTGACATTAAACCCTCAGATTTTTTAACATAAACCAATACTGTAATGTGTGCCTTACTGTAATCCATGGTTGTTTCCCTTCTCTTTGCTGCTCTTCCTTTTAAATCCTGATGTCTTCTCATGCTTGGGAAGAACTTCCCTTTTCAGCTCAGGGCCTCTTCCTGTAGTGCTGGCCCAGGTTTTAAGCCTATAGAAACGTATACACAGACACCGTGTATCCATTCCTGAGACAAGGCAGTCTGCTGCAAAACAGAAGTTCTGCCCAGCATGAGAACAGGTACAGATTTAAAAGGAAGAGCAGCAAAGAGAAGGGAAACAACCATGGATTACAGTAAGGCACACATTACAGTATTGTTTTATGTTAAAAAATCTGAGGGTTTAATGTCACTTTAATGCAGTCATAGTTTTATATACCCACATGCTACCATCTGATAAACCTTAGATTATTGTACGTTATGAAATTAGCTTTTTTATACATACCAGATTTGACATACCTGTGGTGTATGGCTCCCTCAGAAGGAGCCCGCTGTACTTCCCAAAACGGGTGCATGGTATGTATGCGACCAGTGTTTCATGATACATCTATGTATATATATATTTGTTTTTAATGTAGTACCCCCAAGTTAAAAATTATGAATTCTGGGTGAAGTTTTGAAACCAGTTTTGTTAACAGGGTTATCTACAGGTCATCTGAGTCCAGGTCATCTAGGTGGAATCTAATTACTAGTGGATCTGTCAACTAATGTTATGACTGTCCAGTTGGCCATAAAACCATATAACAGGCCTGCTACACAGCTCTGGCAATTAGGTGGAATTGAAGGACTTTTGAAGACTCTCTAAAAACAAATATGTTTAATCAGCAGTCTGTTTTAATCATGCCTAGAAGTGGCAAATTTCAACCAACTGATGGGATTATGGGGTTTCTTAAATAGTTTTGGAGTGCCCAGACTTTATTACTGTGAGAAGGTACTCTACAGATGTCTTCAGTGATGTCACCTCTACAAGGATATCAACAGCTGGGAAACATAGAACATGGACAATTAACCCCCTCCCCCCCCCTCCCCCCAGATAAAGCTTGGGCAGGGGGTGGCTGGGTAGGGCTTTCATACATATGAATGATCCCCAGTCCAGCCATTTTCCAAATTTTTGGTGGCATAACACCAGAGAACTTTATGGGAAGCAGAATGAAGAAGATATATAGCATCATAACTGTATTTGTGCTATTAATGTTACTGTTATATTTATGCTTCCATGTAATTTATTTTTGTAAAAATAATGTTGACAGTGCTTTGTTATCCTCTCTGCCTTAGAGAATTTGGAGATCTGGCTGTTGAACTCCTTGATAAGACCTATCAGCTGAATGAAAGAATGACAATGAAGTTACTAACATATGAGCTAAGTAACTGGAGCAAATCTACGTGCCTTAAGCTTGCTGTTTCAGGACAAGTCCGGACATTTGTTTCCCACGCATGTACTCAGAAACTACTGACAGATATGTGGATGGGGAGGCTGAACCTGAGGAAAAATTCATGGTTAAAGGTAGCTATGAAAAGATTAAAAGGCTAAGGCTAGCCTGGGAACATCACACCAGTGCTAAAACTAGAAAGTCCACTTCGCTTTTGTGAATTGTTTGGAAGTATCCACAAAAAAAAGAAACACTTTCAGAGGAAGGAGTGGAGAGCTTGGCTACATTGCTGTTTTCAAAAACAAAAAAAGAGGGAAGTTCACCATGACCTTGTAGTGTCACTCAAGCATGTCGTGTAGTGTCACTAAGGCATGGCCTTAGGCAAATTAAAATATTCACAAATGATCCTATCAATGATACCTACTGTACATACAAATGTTCAGCCTGTCTGGGTGCATGATGCATCATGCAGACCACATAGAAATAACCCAAAAATAGACTTCCACTATTTTTCTTGAAGAAAAAATACAGCAAGTCCAGTTGCCCTGACTTATTTTTTACAGATATACCATGACCTGGATGAATGAGAACCTTCACAGACATAAATAGCTGATAATTTTATTTAAATCACTATAGTTAAACACAGCAAATACCAAAAAAAGTTTAAACCCCTCACACAGGCCCCTGCATATACAGTATGTTAGAAGATACTATCAGTATATGACCCATGTAAGCGTACACCATAGTGTTGATTGCACCCTTCCTATACAAAAGCATGATGCATGTCTAACTATCCAAATGCCACTGGGAGAACTGTTTGATTGTAAAGTATACTGTATAAGTTTCTTAAGTGAATCTCACTACACACACAGTGGAGCAGCAAACACTGTTATTCTTCACCGTCCAATCCACCAGTCCACTCCATATGGTCATTCATCAAATTCACAAAGTGTCAAATAGATTAATGACCCCTCCAAATGCGATATATTGGATGTATGTCACTTCAAACATTAATGTGCATGTTATGTGTATATGAGCCTGCTAAATAATATCCAAAATCATTGAAATTGCCTGCTATCCCATATACTCAAACTCTGTATTGTATAGAATAAACTGCATGTAAATGTCACATTCTCTGAAGAAGTGTGTTTAGGATGGATGATGTATGTACCATCTTACCACACATAGATGAATAACAGGGGGATTTATCAATACTTGAGCAGACAAAATCTGGAGCAGCTGTGCATGGCCACCAATCAGCTTATATCTTTCATTTTCAAACCTTACCTGAACAAATAGAAAAGAGAAGCTGATAGGTTGCTATAAGCAACTGCTCCAGATTCTTCTGCTCCAACTTTTATGAATTCCCCCCAGAGTGTTTTAAAAGTGCACTTATTTCCTAAAATTATTATTTTACTTAAAGAGTACTAACACAGAACTGAGTTTTTTTGTAGAAGTGTAACCACCATCAGGTTACCTGCCAATGACTGTAATGGTATATGAGTTAATCTATTCATAGCAATTGTAATACACAGTACTAATACATGTATCTAGTAGCTGCATTTTTTAGATTTTGTACACTATACAAACAGTAATAAAAAATTGTTACATTGGACTTTTTCTAGGTGATTTTAGGTATTTTTCTGCCACCAGTTATACCATTTTTTGATTATAAAACCAAGGCACAAATGTCTCACATCCCATTGTCTGAAGATGCCCATCAGATGATACAGAATGAACAGGATGAGGTGAAATACACTGAAGAAGGAGTGACTCTGGTAAGGCCAATAGCACTGCCATCTACATTTACAACATAGAAGAACTGTTTTGATACCATACTGGCCTTGTATATGACAGTCAGTGGCAGGAAGTGTGTAAACAAATAATCCTCCTGAATCCAATTATGTGGCTAATATTGTTTTACTGAACAAAGTTTGACCATTATAGGAAGGCTAGTACCCCAGGTGTTTGAACAAACACTCTGCTATTATATTCTAGTCAACATTTTCCTTCATCTGCCATATTTCTCTTCATTGCTGTGGTACAGTATCATTCTTTATAACTACTTTTATTATAGGGTGCTTACAAGGAACGCACATTTCATAATGCATCTAGAGGAAATCATCCTGAAATTAGGATTGAAGGAAAGTATCATCGTCTTCCTCTGGCACAGAAGTATTTTGCATTTTACCATGCACCAATTGTGAAATTTTGGTTTAACACGGTAAATGACATATTTATTGATGCATTTTCATTGTATTCTATTGTTGAGACATTAATTAGGTCTGTTGGCCCACATAGGTACAGGAAATGCAGTACTTACAGTATTGGCTGTACTGCATTAGTGAAGGGTTGATTGCTTGAAGCCAAGGGGGAAAAGTTGAGTTAGCCTAATTTGTGTAAGTCCAAACAGGTACCGTCAGTGTTACCTATAGACTCCAATCAGATACCAACCAGATATTGTTTAGTGCAGACGTAAAAGGACCATTATTTCTAACCTTTCTTCCCTGTTAACATAAACATACACCAGATACAGCCTTCAATATAACAGTTGATTATTTCATTCCATTTCACAAAGCAGTCCACTGTCCACGTATAGCTAAAAGCATATTATACATGTGTCACGTTATTAAAGTAGTGTGATTAGGCTAGTTTTTGTGTTCAGTTGTTAACCTATTGTTAACTTGCATTTAGGTAGCCTACCTAGCATTCCTGATGCTCTACACCTATGTCGTTCTGGTTCAGATGGAACGTTTACCTTCTGTGCAAGAGTGGATTGTGATCATAAGCATAGTCACCACAGGTCTAGAGACAATGCGTGAGGTGTGTATTAAACAGTTTATAAGCCAAAGTGGAATGTTCCTGCTCTGGATAGACAATGAAAATTGAATTACCAACTGTTTTTAACATTTGCCAAGAGTTTTCTTGGGGTATTTGGCTCTGCTTTCCAGTCTCATTATTATAAAGTTAAACATGAATTTCACATTTGCTCTGCTGCATATTTTGTGTGTAGGTATTTATATCCTATCTGTGCATAAACTAGCTTTTTATAAGTACTTGATTTTTCCATGAACAATAAAGGCACTTACATAAATGTAAAAAGTAGGAATATAATAGGATTTGTATTTGGGCTTCAGAACACCTGCCCCCCTGAGGGAAGGGGAGGGTGCCCTGGAGCCCTAACACACTTCCTGATAACATTGTGTGAGCTAACAATGTAGTGTGCACATAACACAGCACAGCACTGGCTTTCTTTCAGGATCAAAAAGTATGTTTTGCACTTATCAAACAGATTTTGTTCAATTGCATTTTAATAAAGCAAAAGAAGGCAAATATGAGAAGATAACTGTTTACATACACTTTGATATGGTATAGTGTCTACCTCAGAAGTGAATGCTTTCACTCCAAACACAATAAAAGTTCCATGATATACAGCCAATGCATACGGTACAATTGATTTGCTCTTCTACTATGGATCAGAATTACACCTGTGAGGGGTTTATACAGCAGAAGGACAATGGACACTAACTGGGTTATTCACAAAAGGGTGAAGAGTTTGGAGAAGACAGGAGAAGTGAACAATCTAGGACAACATAGCTGAACTGGAAAAATTCTCCAATTCAGCTCAAATTCCAGTTCAGTTATGTTGTCCTAAATTGTTCACTTCTCCTGCCTTCTCCTAACTCTTCACCCACTAGTGAATAATCCTGTAAGATTAGAAAGGCAGCCTCCATTTCCAGGGAAAACCTTCTGAAGTATCAACCACCCAAGGGAGAGACCCATCTCCCATTGGTGGTTACCTACCACCCACAGCTGGAGATTCTGCACAAAATCATAAAAGGGGTTCCAACTGGTCCTACATAAAGATTACAAGATTTATTCTCAGACCCTCCCCATCTTTCTAGTAACCAATCCATCCAAAAATGGTGCAAGACCTGAAGACACCTATACAATAGTAGTGGCTGTGTGCAGGTACAACAATCTAAGCAAGTACACAGGGTTAGGGGAACCTTTTTCTGGAGGTCCTCTGCTGTGGTGTATCTGACTATGTGTGTGCAATGTTCCACCAGAGGTCTGTTTGTAAGTGAAACGGAACAAATTACCATTAACAAAAGCAGGATTGATCTTCCCATAAAAAAACATTTTCACAGACCTGACCTGCAGAACACTGTTCTGATGGGGACCTTTAAGACACATAGAAAAAGAAAGGAATAAGAATATACATTTATACAGAAATTTAACACACTACACCATAGCGTTAATAGCAGCAATAACTTCACTATGACCAAAGTGTCATTTTTGTTTATTTCACAACTCAGCTCTCAGGCAGACAATAGAGGAAATATTGTGACCAAATGTGCTTAGTTCACCCTGCTGCTTAATTGCTTGGACTCGTTTGTAAACAATGTTCTTGCTTTATTGACCTATACCTCTGTCTCTGCATCAGTTTCCTTGTTTGTCGCAGGTTTATCAGTCTGTTTTTTTATATCCACAGTATTTGTGTGTATATATGATTTTTTAGTTACTTGTATGAAACCATAGCTAAATCTAAAGCTTATATTGCGTTAGTCACACGAGAGGTATCACCAGCATTTTTATTTTCTTACTGACTTAGTACATAGTAACCAGCCAAACTTTGCATTCAATCAGTTTAGGCCAGTTGGAATATTAAAACGAGATCATGGATTGGTTGCTAAGGCTCCGTTCACATCTTTACGGTGCGGGAGCCCATGCAATCCCCCACATGATTCATCCCCACATGTGGGGATGAATTGTTTGAGAATGTGATGGACATGGAAGTATGTTACTGGTAGGATCAGTAAAAATATAGTAAACAAAAAGCCAGAAAAAAGAAAACTAATAGATCCACCACATCTGAGGACTGGTAAGCTGCAATATACTACAAATTTGGTCTTGTGTTTAGATACACTTTTAAACAGGTCCTGTAGCATAGAGCAAAGAATGCAAACGATACCCACTGGCAACCAATCAGTTGTCATCTTCTATCATTTCAGTCTAGTTAGGTCTTTGCAGTTGATGAGTGACTTATTGTTCTATTTTACAGAGCATCATTACCTACAGTATTTTTTATGGTATTAACTAAACAGATTTAGCCCGGCTAAACATATTGTTCTTTTCTTTGCAGATCTTCATTTCAGAGGCTGGCAAAATCAGCCAGAAGCTTAAAGCACATTTCAGCAGTTACTTGAATATTAATGAATTTCTTGGCATATTGACATTCCTCGTTGGGTTTGGTCTAAGATTCAGCTGTAGACATTTGTCTGAGGACAACCCCAGTGAGGATTTAATTTTTGTTTCTGGAAGAATAATCTATTGCCTCAACACAATCTTTTGGTTTGTGAGGTTGTTGGATTTATTGAGTGTGAATCAAGATGCTGGACTCTACGTTTTTATGATTGGGAGAATGGTAAGCCACTACGGTCTATTCTTTGCCAGGAAATAAAATGATTTAAAGAAAACCTATACTTAGTTTATATGAACCATTGCTGACCTAAAAATGCTTGCCTCCTGTCTGTCACTGCTGTCAATACGTTTTGAATCACTAATCCAAATTAAGTATGCAGCTTGTGAAGTCATACCTCCTGATGTGTGTATTTGCTGCTGGTCAGTGAAGCCATAATAGCAGTATACTAGCCAAACAACAAGGACTTTTAGAAGGAGTGATAAACATTCTTTAATCCAGTTGTGAAGTTCTGAAAAATCCTTAAACATAATTCTAATGCATTCTAAATATATTCATTATTCTATATATATTCTAAAATTTAAAAAAAAATCAGTTACATATTAATTAAAAATTCAAATTCTACCTGGATATTCGTTTCCTTTAATCCCCTGCACAGCATTACTCTAACCATTTTTTCCCCCCTTTGCACAGAAAATGTATTTCTTATGCTTCAACAAATGCATTATAACAATCAATGTGTATTTATAGCGTGATAGTTTTGTACATTTGTGATAGGGGTTTAGGAATTCTTCAAACTGATTTGTAAATGTTAGGTCCTCAGATTAGCACAGCCAGAAAATGTCATATTCTACTATCGTTTCAGCCTATTTTTAGTACTGCATATTTTTCTAAGGTTCCGTTTGCAATTAAACTATTTTTTTTTTAGATGTCAAGAATGTTTTTCATTATTGTTATAATGGGGATTGTTGTGGTGTCCTTTGGTGTCCCAAAGCACGGAATTCTTTTTCCTAATGAAAAACCTTCCTGGAATCTCGCTCAAGCTGTTGTATTTCGGCCATACTGGATGATGTATGGTGAAATGTTTGCTTATGAAATTGATGGTAAGTCTGGTATCTATCATCAATTATGTCTCTATTTGTCTGTACTGAATACAGTAAGAGGTATCTTGCATGGCTGTCTGCTGTTATGCCTCATACATTGCTATTGGCCCATCACTGTGTACTGTATATGGGGCTTTTCTTTTTAGAATTTTATACCAAACAGCAGTGAATCTGTCAGGCCTCTCCTTCTAATAATGTTACTTGCTTGGTGAGGCTTACCTGAAGGAAAAGGTTTGTATCTTTGACCGCATTCTGAGAAAGATTGCCAGTCCATTTTCTGGAATCCGTGCAATGAATGCCTTGCCAATTTGAAGTACAAGGAATATAGATTCCATTGTGATTCAAACAGGTTACTACAACACCAATTCAAGACATGGTTTATTTTTTGTTTGGATTGAGAATTATAGATTGATCCATGGTATATACCAATTCATCAGCTACAACCAATGATTTGGCAGTTTGAGAAGAATTATCTCTCCATGCATGCGGTCTAGTCTGACCCCTCCAAACAGCCCCTGTTGCTCCGTATGAGGCACTCTGATGGGAGGAGTGGAGCTGGTATGCTACCCAGTTGATTTGGACTGTTCTATTTTGCTATTGTGAATATTCAATTACCGCTTTTCCTGAAGATGCAGTTATCAAGGGCTATGAAACACGTCGGATCATATTAAGCTAGACTGTTTATGTTAAAAAACCAGATGGTAACTCATTTCCTTACAGGGAAAGACAACTGATAAAACTGATGATACCAGACCTAAAGGGTCTGGTATGAATTGCCGGAGGGAACAGTACACTGTTTGTTTTTTTTATTGTTTCCATGGACTGTAAAAAGTTAAAAAGAAAAAAGTAAACATTTAATGGCAATTTTCTGCAACATAATTATGCTTTCTAACTCTTCTGAAATGGATTTTGGATTCGTTGACTTTCAGACCTGAATCCCGAAAAACTAAATAAGGAAACATGCGAAACAAATTTTATGTCGGCGCACAAGTCTAAATAAATTCATTGAATATTTTACATTTGTAAGATTAGAACATGTATTTTGCATACCTAAACAAATACTGAATGTGAGTACATCATTGCACCACTTGAAAAGACTGACATTCAATACCTGTTATGGTTGATGGTGATGTGGTGCATTGGCTTTCTGAACTGAAACAAGCATAGAGATTAAGAATTCTACAACGTAACTCTTTTCTGATACTCTTTTACTGCATGCTAGTTCCAGGTATGTGACTCATAAGTATTAAGTCTAGACAAAGCCAGGCATATTTAAAAGGAGACTAGCAATGGCAGCCCCCATACCTCTGTAACAGCAAATTCCCTTTAATCCTATTTCTGGTAATCTATTCACATGCAAAGCAAACATAGAAATGGAGATGCCATTATATATATTTGTTTATGTCTTTCCATATATGCAAATGGTAAGGTCGGGGCTGCTTCTGTAGTTTGGGCACAATTTCTGTTCTACTGTGTACTGAATGTATTGTATGTAATTCTGTGTTTTCTTTAATTTTTCAAGTGTGCGCCAATGATACAGTTGCACCACATCTCTGCGGCACTGGAAGCTGGCTGAATGGTTTTTTACAAGCTGTTTATGTTTTTGTTCAGTACATCATCATGGTGAATCTTCTCATTGCTTTGTTCAAGTAAGTAAAATTCCATTTGGTTGCATGGGTAAGGTGGTACTCCAGTCAGAACCTTTTTTGAGTTTTAGAAAGAGTAAGGAATGGATAGAATCTCTGACAGGAGTTTGTTAATATTTGCTGTCTATGTTCCCTCTGGGGAGATTTTCTCTCACTTTGTGTGCCAGTGACAGTGTTGTTCCTGGTGAATAAAGATAAGGGAAATCTCTCCCAAAAGGACACAGTAGAATATTTTTGTAGTAGAGCCGGTGAAAGCTACAATTTAACTCAGTTATAACTGGTGTCTGTATCGCTTTTGTAGATATAGCATATTTTCTTTTCCCAGTAAAATCACTTTATTTGGTAAAAGATAGAAAATCTCGCATGTGATCAGTTTTTGTGGTTAAGAGTGACAAGGTGTTGTGTCCTTTGTGTCCCACAGCAATGTGTACATGGAATGTAAAGCAATGTCTAATCACCTGTGGAAGTTTCAGCGCTATCATATGATTATGCTTTATCAAGGCAAGCCAGTGCTCCCTCCTCCGCTTATCCTGTTCTCCCACATAGCTATTGCCATCACTTGGATGTGTAGAGGAAGATATAAAAATAGATCACGAGGACCAAGTAAGTTTCAAGATACATTTTACTAATGGTATATGTGACATTAAATTATAGATGTGAGATTATACACACACACACTATATATATATACATATATACATAATACTACAAACCGTTTTGAATAAAAATGGACACAAAGAAGCATAGCACACTTACTCAAAAAGGTAACAAACATTGAGCGGTGTGCAGTAGCCCATTGCAATTGATTAGAATTCATGTTGCTTGCTTTACTACAATAAATGTGATTCTGAATTTTCTTATTGTTACACGTCATAAAAATATAATTGCTTTTTTTTACATCTTTTTAAAAAAGGTCAACTGCGACTTGCTCTGATCATACGAAAATGATGAATATCTATCAACCTTTACTTGTTTCTTTTCAACCAGAACTCTTCTTGACGGCTGAAGATCAAAAGAGGCTACATGAATTTGAAGGAGAATGTGTTCAGATTTATTTCAATGACAAGAAAGATCATGAAAGTTCAAAGAGTGATGAAAGAATCCGTGTAACATCAGAAAGGTATTATAAATGTAAATGTGACCAATTCAAATTACATTCTACCATGTAACATTAAAAAAAATATTCCCAATGCAGCCAGAACAAAAGAGGAAATGTAAAATACAGATGCTGTCATACAAATATTTCAAAAGATAACTCAGTTAGAGATATACCCCTCCTACTCTCTGTCATACATATTTTATATTTTTGTTTTAGGTTTGAAATTAGTGACCAGAGTGGATTGAATTCTGTGACACCAATGCCATACGGTTCACAGCCAATCTAAAGTCTGTAGATTACTAGATTACACTGGAAACCTGTAACTATAAAACAGAAACATTTCTAAAGAGAAAAATTTCCAAATTGGGCCCAAAGTGTCAATATTTTGTGTGGCTACCATTATTTTGCAGCACTGCCTTAACCCTCTTGGGCATGAAGTTCACCAGAGCTTCACAGGTTGCCACTGGAGTTCTCTTCTGCTCCTCCATGACGACATCACTGAGCTGGTGGATGTTGGAGACCTTGCGCTCCTCCACCTTCCATTTGAGGATGCCCCACAGACGCTCAATAGGGTTTAGGTCTGGAGACATGCTTGGCCAGTCCATCAACTTTACCCTCAGCTTCTTTAGCAGGGCAGTGGTCGTCTTGGAGGTGTGTTTGGGGTCGTTATCATGGTGGAATACTGCCCTGCGGCCCAGTCTCCGAAGGGAGGGGATCATGCTCTGCTTCAGTATGTCACAGTACATGTTGGCATTCATGGTTCCCTCAATGAACTGTAGCTCCCCAGTGCCGGCAGCACTCATTCAGCCACAGACCATGACACTCCCACCACCATGCTTGACTGTAGGCAAGACACACTTGTCTTTGTACTCCTCACCTGGTTGCCGCCACACACGCTTGACACGATCTGAACCAAATAAGTTTATCTTGGTCTCATCAGACAACAGGACATGGTTCCAGTAATCCATATCCTTAGTCTGCTTGTCTTCAGCAAACTGAAGAGGCTTCCTTCTGGGACGACAGCCATGCAGACCAATTTGATGCTGTGTACGGCGTATAGTCTGAGCACTGACAGGCTGACCCCCCACCCCTTCAACCTCTGCAGCAATGCTGGCAGCACTCAAACATCTATTTCCCAAAGACAACCTCTGGATATGACGCTGAGCACGTGCACTCAACTTCTTTGGTTCGACCATGGCGAGGCCTGTTCTGAGTGGAACCTGTCCTGTTAAACAGCTGTATGGTCTTGGCCACCATGCTGCAGCTCAGTTTCAGGGTCTTGGCAATCTTCTTATAGCCTAGGCCATCTTTATGTAGAGCAACAATTCATTTTTTCAGATGCTCAGATAGTTCTTTGCCATGAGGTGCCATGCTGAACTTCCAGTGACCAGTATGAGAGAGTGAGAGCGATAACACCAAATTTAACACACCTGCTCCCCATTCACACCTGAGACCTTGTAACACTAACGAGTCACATGACACCGGGTACGGAAAATGGCTAATTGGGCCCAATTTGGACATTTTAACTTAGGGGTGTACTCACTTTTGTTGTCAGCGGTTAAGACATTAATGGCTGTGTGTTATATATATATATACATACATACATACCGGAGAGAGAGAGAGATTGTGGATGGTTTGTATCCGTCACTTAGCTTTCTCACATACACAAGATTGATGACTAATGTGGAGAAAACAAACTTTTGTATTCTTAGAATCTTTATAGGGTTTGTTCTGGGTCTTGTAGAGCCTTGACTGAGGTAATTCCTTCATTCCAAGGTCCTCCACATCTTACCTGGTGGCCAGACCTCATTGAACATGCTTAGGTTCAATCTGTGGGAGGTTCAGCAAACTCTTCAAAGAGTCTGCAAATTTCCAACTTTATAGCCTATCTCTAGGTAAAAAAAAAAAAAAATTACCCTTGCAGTGTGGCTACCACTGCATTGTAAGGGTTGCTTCTCATTTTGCCTAGGAACCTGTGTAAAGGACTTTTACTTGCCTGATTCTCGCTCCTGCAGATTCCAAGACTGGTGTCCACAAAACTCTTCCTCCCTTGCACTCCAGCTGTCAGGGGCCTGCTGACATTATCCTGCCTAATTTAGGGCCCATAGCCCTGCATTATAGATAAGGACAATGAGGACTACCTGAAGGGTAGGGATAATGAGGAGAATGTTGACTGCTGGGGGAGTTGGGATCAGGCAAGTAAAAGTCCTCTTGACAAAACAGCTAGACATAAAAGAGCAATTAACCATTGCAGTGCGGGAGTAGCTTCACTGCAAGGTATTTTTTTCCTCCAGATATAGGCCTTTATGCAAACCCGATTTAAGTCAATAGGAGGAGAATTTGGAAAATGAGTTATCTACATTTTCAAGGCTAATAGGCAAGGGATTGTTACATGAAGTGCATTGGATGTCTTCCTTATATTGTAAAGCGCTGCGCAAACTGTTGGCGCTGTATAAATCCTGTATAATAATAGGAAGCTGAACACTGCCCTGTGGGGCATAAACCAATGCAAAATTAAAACAAAAAAATACAGTTAAGAGCAGAGCAGTTATTTTAATAATACTTAAAGTAAAACATCAAAAATTCAAAATTCCAGCAATTTCGATGATCTACTCCATTTTATTATCCCTCTTTCCCCCCTTCAAATTATCGTACATGTCCACTTGGGAAACTGATATTGGGGTTACTTTCCCATTGGAATAATCAACATCTACTTGACAGAAGCTAATTTTAAAGTGCTATCACGCTGGTACTTGGTTGGTTCCTTATAAATCCAGCAACATCCCCTTTAAGTTTTTGAGGTTGGGATGAGCAGGGTACAGAGTTCCACATTTGGTGGCTTGGTCCCAAAATCCATGCTTTTTGGAATAGATTATAGCTCTGATCTATAGGGTTATGGGTGTTCGGGGACCTAATGACCCGCAGTTTGCTCTCCTTCACAAACCGCTTTAAGATATTTCAAAATATCTAGATAGACTGATTTTATTTATATTATGGCAGCCAAGATCTCTATTGCCTGGGCATTGGAAATCCTCCACGGAATCTTTTGCCCCTTTAAATCCAAAATGTCTTACTATCAAAAACTTACTAGTATTCTTCAAGATACATGGTGAAAATTTGATGCAGTGTGGGACCCATGGGTGTGGTATATCAGAGTGAGCAATATACTATTAGGACAGACTGCTCTAGGTGTACAGGTGTACAACTTTTGGTACTCCCTCTTTTCTCTTTTCTTTTCTGATCTTTCACCATTTTACTTGATTTTATTGACCCCCTACGTTCCTTTTCATTATTACTTTGTGACATGTTTTCTTAAACTTTACTTACATTTAACCGCTCACATAAAAAACTCTGAAGTGATATGCATATAAGAGCTCTGAGTTGTAAAGCCTAGGCGCTAGTAGATATCGTTGAAGTTATTGACGGTTGCCTTGTATGGTTTATCAATCATCTGAAATTGGATTTAATTAACTATGGCAGAGTTTGTTTTAATAATAATATGTTATAGGTATGAACTATCTGTATCTTTTCACTGTATTTTAACTTGGGAAAATAAAATTATTGGAAAGTAAAAATGTTAAATTCCTTTAAATAACATGCTTGGGGGATGCCCTAAACCTTCGTGTGAAGTGGTACACCTGTATAATGTATACAATGTACTACAGAAAAAAGGGACATTGTCAAAACACTATTTGCCGCTAAATAACATTTCCCTGTCTGTTTGCAATCAAATTTGGCAGCTTGGCAGGTCAGGAAACGGGGCAGAGAGTGTGTGCCTCCCCTCCTGAACTAAGCCAGGCCACATGCCCTCAACATGTGTAGCATACCTTCAAGAGGGGATGGCAAAGCCACTTCTACCTGGCAAGGCACTATGTCCCTATGTCCATGTTGATGGGCACAAGGAAACCTTCCCCACAGCCCTGGGCCAGTGGATATGGGAGTCTACGAGGTGGGGAACTTATCTGAATCTGGAAGCCCCCTTTAGAAGAAGGTTGCCCCCAGCTATCCGACCCCCATGTGAATGAGTAAGAGGTACATAGTTCCCATGGTTACACATTCACAAAAAGTTACATATTAAAAAAACTAAGATTTTGAGGGGGACTGTCAATCATGTAGTCCAAGAATGTAGATCCATCGTCGATTTATTATGATGAACAATGATCCCGATGACTGATCAAAACAAATACGCTGACTCACCCACACGATCCGTCCTGAAAGAACTCTTGCTGCGAATGATATTCCCTAGCCAGCAGGAGAATGTAAACAAAGTGGCGGGATGGTGGATGATGTAATTGATCAAGTATGGCCATGAAATCGGCCAGCATCACTACTCCTTTGTTTACATTACATTCACCTGCTGGCCGGGGAACCCCCTGGCTGGCAGCTGAATAGTGCCAAGGAAGCATCCTTGCTCACAATATAAAATAAAAACTGTGAATATGCATTATAATTCATGCTATTGACATGCTGTACATTCCCTGTTTCACACCACCTCATTCCATATGCCATGCTGTATGTTCCCTATTCCACTCTGTCTCATTCCGTATATCATACTTGCATGTTCCCTATTCCACACCCCCTTCTGTTCTGTATGCCATGCTTTTGTACAATGTTATATTCCACACCACCTCATTCTGTATTCTGTGCTGTACATTCCTTATTCTGCACAAATCTTACAGGCCCAACAGCTCTAGTGTGTAGGTGTGCCTGGGTGCACAAGCTATCAGCTCTTAGGATGTCAGATGTTTGGACAGGGGAGCAAGCCATAGATATGCCACTGGCTTTATCTAGGTCATTTAGGGAGATTTCAGTCTTGTAAAATGCTGTCTATGAACTTTGAGGTGCATACAGAGCTTATGCCAATTCAGATCAAAATACAACCAACTGAGTTATTTATACCAGGATGGAGATCACATTGTTGATGCTGGAGGTGGTATATCCATGCAACTCTGAAGGAATAATTATATTTTGAGCGGAACATGTGTATACATTTATAAGCTGCTGGGCTACTTGACATTGGACATTACCCCTCTTTTTGCAAAGTCAAGCAGATGTTTGGGGATTTTAAATGATTTTACCTTTTAGTAGTTTGGTGTTTTGATTCCATTTTACCTTACATTTGTCATTTGCTTTTTGAAGTATTTGAGTTCCATGTGAATCACTTTTTGAATTTTGATTTGCTTATAATAAATAATATATAAATCCAGGGGTGTAACTAGAAATCACAGGGCTCCATAGCTAAATTTTGTATGGGGCCCTGTGATTTCTGGAAGGAAGCACAAAGAAGAGGGCGCCTTTCCTGGTGCAGATAGGTTTATTCAATAACAGATAAAAACGAACAAGGATGTACTCACAAGAGTAGGATGTAAACAAGCCGTAGGACAGCGATTAGAACGGAGCAAATGTGAAATCCGTATGGCATGTCCTATGTGCTGGTGTGTAAGATGTCGACGCGTTTCCGGGGCACGCCCCCTTCTTCAGAACATGACTCGTTCCTCCTCCCCATAGAGAATATAAAGGGACAATGTAATCCAGATTGTGTGGAGCTCTAACTGCTGATAGGGCATTAGCCAAATGTGGGTGGTGACAATTTAGAAGAATTGGTAATAGAAAGACGGAACAAGCCTAGTCTGTAAAAGGTAAAGGTGCAGAAAACCGGAGAAGGCAGTTATGCAATCTGTGTCGCTGTTGATGAGTCCCAGAATTACAAGGGACAGAGGACTGATATCACAAATGAAGCAGTACAGGGGAGGAGGAAAGAGTCGAGGGTCAGTGGCCGGCTAATACCACATGGGAGATACTTTATAAAAAAGAGATGAAAATTAGATAAAAAATTGATAAAAGACATTAATTTCCATAGCAAACATAATAGAACCATGATAAAAAGCATAATGAAAAAACCCTGCTATACATAATATAATATAAACATGGAGAACACACATGATTAGAATTGTTAATGATAAAAGTGTGTATGCCAATAATTAAAAATCAAAAATGACATGATGTTGCGTCTAGGGGTTATACACATCTAAAAAACAGCTGAACCTTCATGAAAACACAAATAGCTATGCAAATGAAATATGATGAAATATGTTGAAAATTGGGAATATAGAATAGGGGTGGTGTGCACTAGGTCAAACACTACTATCCAATTGATAAAGGAGGGAAGTGTATGTGTGTGTGGAAGGAACAA